TGAAATTTAAGGCTATCGTGAATCTCAAATTATAAACAGAATTCAAATGCATAAAAAACCCAATAAATCTGTTCTTCCTTTGGAAATTTAGTGTTAAAAATATATTGTTGCATACTTTTAGACACGTTGTTAAGTGATTTCAATTTCCACCCTTGGTGAATTTTCAATCCATTTACTTGGTAAAATATTTATTTAAGATATATGTATATTTCAGAAAACGAGTCAAGATTGACCATCCTTCAGAAGTGAACCCTTTCACCTCGTCACTTCTTCTCCAATTCACTCGAGCCATTATAATTTATCGGCATTGAAATACTTTACATAAGGTCCGCCCCACCTTCTCATGCTTCCCATTTCGAAGATGAGTCCGAACGATGCCGAATGTAATTAGAAATCCTCAGCAAACATACATATGTAAAGCGCTGCTCCTTCGTCCTGTGAGCTTAAGTGTGTATGTGTATTTGTATCTGTATCTGTATGTGTTCGTGTGTGTATGTGAGGGTGGGCGGGAGTGCTGCTGCAGTTGGTTTGATGTGCAAAATGAAGACATTTGAATTTGCGGTTCGGGCTTGAGCACCGTAGGCTATAGATTTTCTTACGACACACGCTCGCACATGCAGGTGTTGGGAGGGAGGGGGTTTCGATGTGTTGGGGGTTATATAATGCACCCACCCACCCACACACACACAAACACCGTCACCTGCTTTTGGCCTTTGTCTGCCCGCTGGCCATGCAAGTGGGTGGTTGGGGGCCATCTCAATATAAACTGCCTTCAACATTTAATTAGTGTGTTTTCGCACACAAGGCCCAGACGCCTAGGTGTGTGTGAGTGTGGCTATGCAAATGGCGTTGGGCGCAACTGTACATGCTCACATACACACAAGCTCTGCTCTCTTGCTCTCTCGCTCGCTCTCTTTGAAGACATTGACGTTTCGTTGGTTATGCAAATTCCATGCCAACACCTTTTCGGCCAAAGACTAAGACAAACTTAAGTGGGCGAGAGGGCGGGGCATTCTATAAGCCCACCACCCCCTACCCCATACCACGCACACACATGGCTGCCAGACACACACTCACATGCACAATTGCCTTTTATAATTAATTTTACAGTTAAGTGTATTTCAAGAAAGTTAAATTTACGTAAATTCGAAAATTTTGAAAGGCCATTGCCTTGCCCACAACCCACACACACATACAGCTCCAAGGGTTAAGGCCCTGTGAGCAGTGAAGAGTGAGTGAGAGGGGATGACGAGGGAAAGAGAGGGAAGTATGTGTGTCTGTGAGACGTCGCTGCGGCTTGTGTCTGAGACATTTGACTGCTTTTTGGGCTAAGCTCCCCCCTGCCAAATTCCCAGCTCTTCTTGGCCGACACAAATTTTATTGAAATTGCCAGGGCTCAGTGTACAGTGTACAGTATGCACTGTACTGGCTGGACTAGGCAACACTTACATTATGCAATCTAATTATGCCTTGAGCTCTTAGTGTGTGAGTGTCTGCGGGCAGGACAAAATGGCGTCTCAGCTTATAAGTTTGGGTTAGCCAGGCCAAGAGCAACTTGGCCAGGGATAAAACTTATCGGACAAGAGCAAGACACAACTGACAAGAGGAGAAGAATAATTTCATTATAATAGGGACATTTGAAATTCGAACTACCATGACTAGAAATTGTATTTTTTTATTTTCAGAAATTTAGAAAAGAGATTTAAATCCACGCTCTGTTCTGTTTCATTTCCTTAAAATTATTATACAAAAATGTATTTTAAATTAAATATATTTTGAATACTTAAAAGTTAAAAGTTGGTTCTCTACTGTTCATTAATAGACATTACAAAATTTAAACTTTAATTTTATGTCAAATACAAAAAATAAAAGCAAATCGCTATTCTGCAGATCAAAATCAAAGCTTTAACGTGGTCTAATTAAACTACTATGCCTAAGCCCCAAACAAAATCTTTAACACGCTTGAATTTCCAGCACAAGCATTCCCATAACAAAGCCCCAAATAACCCAATCTAAGCTCCGCTGCAATATCAACTCGCTGCTGGTCGAACGAATAGAAAATCAATTTTGTGCCCCCGAAACGTCCTCATTAAATTGCTCGCTGTACGACTAATGAAATCATTAAAATTGTTTAAAAGCAAATTCTCGTTGGCCGAGCCGTAGGACAAACTCACACACATATATAGGCGAGAGCATGCAAAATTTATGTGGCAACTAGAAACTATGTTTTGGCAACACGCACACAAACCCCCACACGTACACACACACATATATTAAGCCGGCAAAGGACATTGCCTTGAGTTAGGATCGGGGCCGAGGCCGAGGACAGACAGCAAAAGTTGCCAGTTGAAGGCGGAGGCAAATCCTTAGCAGAGACACCCAGCCACCCCCAGTGACCAGAACCTCAATCCAGTAACCCACCCCCTTCCTTTTTGGCCGCGTGCGCTACTTAAACCCTTGCCGAAAACTATCCTGAAAGGGTTGGGCGCAGTCGGGGTGGCCAGACATCGAAAACATGATTTTAGTGTTTTCAAATTTGAATTTTAAACAAGTCATAATATAATTTGGCTAAGCAGCAGCAGAAGCAGTCTCCGGCGCAAGCCCAACATCCTGATCCCCCGGTCCACGGGGCACTTGGCCCAAGTTTGTGTCCACTTGCCGGGCTTTAATCCGCACCAAAACTCCATCCACTTGCCAATCCCCCTGATTCCAACCCTTGCGCGACGACGGCCATAGAAAATTAGCCGAGGCCCTAGCTCATTTTCCAGCTTGGCGTTTTTCTTGCAGCGCCGAAATTGTGAAATTTAAATTAGATACAAAAGTATCTATGGCCCGGAGTCGGGGTGCGAGTGTATGCGTGCCAACTATCCCACACGAAATATTGTAATTTTCTTGCAACTAAAGACGTAAACGGATATTAGCAGCAAATTAAGCCCTCCTTTCCGTCCTGTTTTTCGCCGTCCCGTGCGGTTCTAGTCGAAAGCCCTTAGGGATGGCCGAATTCCCTAAGCAAATATGCTAATTTGGGTGATTGGTTAAAATCGAAAGGGGATTCATTTCAAAAGCTTAGGCAAGGAGCATAAAGATCTCTTTATAAAAAATCTGAGAATTGATCTAAAACTATAAATAAGGACCTTAAAATTATAAAGATTAGGAAAAATGACTATAGAAACATTTATGAGAAAAAAAGTATATAAAATAATTTTATAAAAATGATAAGTTGTATATATTAAAGCTTAATATTTACTTTTATATTTTAAAATATTTTTTATAAAGTTATCTTTCCGATGTTAAGAAGAAATCGATAGTTTTTAACGAACTCTCCCATCGCCAGCTATAATAAGTAAATTGAAACTGCTGGAGCAACAACAAGAGCAACAGCCTTTTCGATTCGGGTTGCTGCTGTCTTGGGCTTTGGTCTGCTAAAAGGGTCCAAGTATATAGTTTAAATCATACTCGTGTCGACGTCGACTTGGCTACATTTTAAATATGCTTCTTGGGGATTGGGGTCGTTTGGGTGGCGTAGGTTGCGGAGGTTTGTGGATAAGTTAAGGGGTCGGCTCAGTGTGTGGGCGGGCATTTGTGGGGCGTTGTTATCGTCAACTTGGCTGGCAAGCATTCTCCATTCTAATTTCTAATTATTTCTTCATGTGTGTGTGCATGGGTGTAGTCGTCTGACCAGATGGGTGGGCCGAATCCTGCCCCACCACATCCGTCCGTATGTCTATCCGTCCGTCCGACTGTCTGTCTGTCTATGCGAATTAATTAAGTGTTTTCGTGCGCGGGCAAATCCTTTTGCGGTTCAGAAAGTTTTGAGCTCTTTCGAGCCAAGGCGAATCACTGGGCCAGTGGGCGCAGGACGCAGGGCGGCGGGGGAAAATCAATTATAAATTAAACATTTATTAAAGAAAGCGCACACATTGCCCCGGGGGCAACGCAACCGCTTTCTATGCGGATACTCCCCGCACTCCACAATCCACCCAATCCCGAGTTCTTAGCCTGCCTATGCAAATCAGCTGCGGCATAAATAATGCGACATCATTATTTAGGCAGAGGTAGGCGAACAACACGAGTCCCCTTTTCGGATCCAGCCAGAACATTTCTGTCGTCAGTCAGCGATCCATCAATTATGTCTGCAGCTGGGGAAGATCCGACGTCTTCGGAGCCTCGAAACCGGGCTTTGTCTCATTTCGATTGTCTTCGAGAAGGAGGGAAGGCTCCTTCCTTTTTCCGCTCCCCTTTTGATTATGCACATGCATTTCGGCTCGTACATCAAACTCGAACTCGAATAAATGTGACGGCCTGCATGCATTGAAAGTAAAAAAAAAAAGAGTACAAAAAAGGGAGGGAAAACCAAAAAGCAACAGCCAGGGGAATATGCTGATAGATGCCGGGTATAACTGATTTGTGTGTACCCGTATATATCTGAATTGGTAATTTGCTATAAAGCGACTTTAATATGGCACGCAGTTGTCCGCCAACTCCGCGCCCTCTCTTCGGGACACTTTGCATACTCATCCACAGTTGGGCAAATGCTTTCAATTTACATGGCTAAGTAGCAACCAGGTTTTCAGAAACCAAAAAAAGAAAGCCAAACTTTTGTTTCCAAGCAGGAAACTAACTGAAAAGTGAATTCCAGATTAATAAAAGCTGAGATAATTCAAAAGTCTAAGCTGCTAATCAGTAAACTCGGGGACCCTAAGGGATTATCTTAAAATGTACTCTACCAAAAGATTTAACTTAATAAATAGCTGCCGGCTTTTCACCTACAATTTTAAGAAAGTTTTATAATCTAGACAAACTTTTTAAAAAATTTGCGTGAACAGTTCTGAAACCAACACTAGAAAAATAAAATTAAATATTTGTTAAACAGATATTTAATAAAAATTTAGAATTTAATTTAAATGCTATTTTGAAAACAATTTCTTTCAAATTTCATATTTTGAAATCTTTGGATTTACCAGATTCTACATCAGTAATTAACTCAATATAAAAGGCCATCTATGCGTTACGGTTTATTTCTAGTCGGGATTTCACACAAGGTAGGAAAGATTATTTAACTGGGCTCGGCATTGGAATATTTCAGATAACGGAACAGGATGAGTGCTGGGGATCGGGGTGTCTGGCGACAACTTGGCAATTAACCCCTGCTGCCGCCGCAGTTGCCTTTCCGGGGATTTCCCTCGTGCTTCTGGGCCTCGCGGATGAGATCGCAGGCGCTGGGAATCGCCAGGCAGTTGCACTCGATGGCACGCGGCGGTCGGATGGCCGAGCGTGAGCATTCCGAGAACGAGGGATAGGGGGCCTTGACCTTGGTGCAGTCCGTGATGCGTCGCACCACGTGGCAGGACACCTTGCCCACGGCCTTGCAGCCGGGCAGCCGGATCTTGGGGCAGAGGCCCTCGGCCACCGGGCACACCTGCTCCGTGGGACACTTTTCGTCCGCGACAAACACCTTGCGCTTGCGCCGCGGAATCGGGGGACGGGTGCCCGCCTCGTAGCAGCAGATCTTCTTGGGCTTTATCTGGATGGGCGGGCACTCCACCCAGGTGACTTGGTACTTGCGCTTCGCCTTGTCGGAGATCTTGTAGTAGCACTGGTCGTAGGGCGGGAACCGATCGCGGCAGGGATCGTCGCAGCAGTCCGGCGGCATTTTGACCAGATGGTGGAACTGAAAGGAGTCCTCCGGCGGTGGCGGCTTCTTCACCTCGAAGCGGGGATCGCCACAGCCCGTGAACTTGCCGCATCCCTTGCCCGAATCGCGGCTGCACTTCGGCGATGGATTGTGGTCCTCGGCGTAGGCACGCTGGCTGACTACGCCTACAAAACGGGGTAGGATTTGGCCATGTCCCTTCAATGTTAAACTGCGCCACAAAGACATGATAGTAAGACGATTTAAAAATGTTCGGAAAAACAATGGGTTCGCTGCGAACTAAGAGGGGTGTCAACACCACAACAACCGCGCGTTAATAAACCAGCAATTCCGAAACCGAATAATACCCCCTCGGCACCGTGAAATATCCTAACTAAAAATTTTCAACCGAACACACAATCAGCTCAACGGAGCCGATGTGAAATTTGGAAGAGGCCGAGAGGAACTGAGCTAAAAACTTAAACGACATGACTATGTGGCATTGAAGTTCGGTTCAAGGCCTGCTTGAAAGATGCTGTTTTCAAATATTCAGATGTGTTCCAAAACAAAATGATGATTTTTTTAATTAAAATATTTCGTTTGAATTAGGATTATTTCCTTATAATCCGATGACTAATATAGTGAATAGTTCCACCAGTTCGCTAAAATTATATATAAATATTATATTTATATTATATAAGTATAAATATTCTTTTAGGTTTAAATATAGGGTGATATATCACCCCCCACCCGGTAAAAAATTAAGGGAATTTTTGTATTCAAAAAAAATGCAACGTACAAATTTCTCTGATATCATCCCCCACAACAAAATCCTAGATCCGCCTCTGAGTTCAGTTATAGCTTTGCAATTCATTTCAGATCGTTTCCTATGCACCTTCAGAGTATTGAACTTAAAATCGGAATGAAGTTGGCCTTGCCCACCCACTCGGGGCTTTTGGTATGGGCTCTCAGTTAGTCTACACTCAGTCCTTGGCCTAACAAAACATATTCTCGGCTTTTTTTCGGCATTGTGAAACAAAATTTGGTTAAAAAGTTCAAAATGTTGCGAGTGTTGCGTCAGAAGTGTCGTTCGCTCGTGGATCGCAGTCTGCCGTGCCTGGAGTCCTTGGTGAATGCCTGTGCCGCGCTTAAGTTCGATTGGTCCAACGATCAGAAGAGTCTGATCCCAATCCAAAGCTCTGGCGTCGCCACCTCCAGTGTGCTCCGCCAGCACCTGGTGCGCCGCAACTACAGCAGCCAGCAGTCGTCGGCGGACGACGATTGCGGGGCGCCCAAGAAGTGCGATACGGAGAAGGCGGCGGGCTCCAAGACCTGTGGTCCTGCCCACTTCAAGGGCACCATCTGCGATGCGGCCAAGGGCGGCAAGCGCAAGAAGAAGGAGGCCAAGAAGGAGAAGAGCAACAAGCCCAAGATCCCGTCCAGGCTCAAGTCCATGTGGTACATACCCGGCTGCGAGTACGAGCCCAAGTGCGATGTGAACGTGCGCTACGACATCCGGCACTACCGCATCTCGGACAAGGAGGCCCGCCAGTACCAGGTGACCTGGAACGAGTGTCCCCGGCTGGTGATCAAGCCCAAGAAGGTCTGCATCCACGCCAAGCATCCCCGCCCGAAGCCCTGCCGTCGCCAGCGAAAGGCGCCGGCGGCCACCGCCCGTCCCTCGATGCCCATGCTGAATCCCATGGAGTGCCGCAAACCGGAGGACGACTCGCCCTGTCCGCGCTGGACCCTCCCCTGTTGCAAGCCCGGCCGCATCCCGCCCAGCTGCCATCGCGTGCGGCGACCCACCGACTGCAAGAAGCGCCCGGCCCCGTATCCCAGCTTCTCGGAGTGCAAGCGCGATGAGCTGACCAAGGGGGCGCCCATCGAGTGCCTGTGCCTGCAGGTGCCCATGGCCTGCGAGATGTGGGCGGAGCTGAGGCGAAGGATCGCCCGGGGCAAGGGGGCGGTCCTTAAGTGCGGCGAGCTGTAGGTGCTGCTATAGGCGGCGTAGAGCGTCCAGTCGTACGACATCTGGCCACATTCCGGCCGTTATTCCAACCTAGCTAACTCACATCCAAATTCCGGTTTTCTAAAATAGCCAAGCCATTCACCATTTCCTTTCCTTTTCGATCCACACACTTCCGAAATTCAAAATGCTGTCGAAACGCTGTGGGAATTTTCTGGCCAATAGCCTAAAGCCACTAACCACCCGATTTGCTAGTTGCGGTGGCGATACCTCGGACAAGTCCAAGTGCAAGTCTAATTCGAAGGATAAAGGCAAGCCGGAACCCACTTGCAAGCGATCCGCGAAGAAGAAAAACTGCTGCAAGGTCCGAACTCCCTTTCCCTGCTACTCCGAGTGCAAGCGAAAGCCAACTGATCCAAAGCCTTCTAAGGAGTGCGATTGCTGGGACTTCGACAAGTGCTGACTGTTTGATAAAACCGGCGGATGGCGGCCCTTCCCCACTTTCACACCACAGACTGAAGACTCGATACACACACAAGACCGTTGGTGGCACTGGGAGCCTAGGTGTATTGTCCATGTCGAACCCTTAGCATTTATCTGGGCACCTATTTTGAAGCTTAATCCAACTAACCGACGTTGAAGAATTACAAAAATACCTTATGTTTTAACCGTTGTTTATTATTTGCTGGGATACTGGTTTTTTTTTACAGCTGAATGGATTGCAGCGAGAAAAAGTAATCCTATTCAAAAAAAGGGAAATATGGGAAATTTATTTAATGGCGAAAAAATCGAAATATGAAAATTTGAGAGGTTTGAGATATGGTAAAAGTTTCAAAACAAGGTTTTTTATTTTTGTCCATACTGTGATTTTAAATCCAATCCAATCGTCTTTGATGGAAATCGGAAGGGATATTTAAAAAAAAAACTTAATTCACAAAATCTGATTGCGACGTGATATCAGAGTGTGGCGATTGGATTATAAATATTTTTTTTATTAAAATAAATGACCGCCATTCAACTGAATTGCAAAAAATGTTTCGACCAATACCTTTCCACGTTATTAATTTATTTTTTTAAATATTTATAAGCCCTACGCTGTAGTATTTTTCACGATTGGCGAAAAATTTTTGCAATAAATTTCTTAGTAAGGGCTAGTACTCAACCCAACAAAAAGTCGTTCAAAACAAAAACTTCATATGAAACAAAATTTTTTGACGTTGTTTTTCATATGAAGTTTTTTGTTTTGGACGACTTTTTGTTGGGTTGAGTACTAAGCCTTAGGGACGTATTAAAAATGCGTGATAAGTTTGGGATCTAGTGAGCCTTATATTCTCATCCTTCAATACGATTTTCCCCATACATTCATTCTCACATTTGGCATTAAGTTACAACAACCTGTTTTGTTCCGGTCTACTATTTTGTATTGCTTTCTTTTCTCTCTTTCGGAAAAATTAGTTGGTACTGAAAAAAATAAATAAATTTAAGACTGATCAAAAATGAATTCGTCAAAAGCTTTGGTGACCAAACAGATGGTGGCCTTGGGATTCAGCAACCTTGTGAAGAGTCGCGGAATGAAAAACTTGCGACTAGATGACATTCACTACAAGCCTGGTGCGATGAAGGAGCGAACGTACAGAAGGACTTGGGCGGAACAGCAGTTGGTGCAGCCCGAAGTTGAGGAGCGCTTGGATGACACAAAGTACAATCCAGGGCGCTGGACAGAACGAGAATACCAGGCCACCTGGCGGGAAGCCGTTGAGGAGGATCGTCAGCAAGAGCTAGAGGATCAGCGATGCGAAAAAGAAGAAACTTCCGCCCCTGTGCTACGCCGATCGTTTGATCCCAAGAGGCGACTACAAAGGATCGCCATTCCCGCCAGTCAGTTCATCTCCCAGTTCATCTCCACCCAAAGCAAAAACAAGAGGCGTCACGTAGAAGCTGCCGCAGATCGAATGGCGTATGATGGTTACCAACTGGTCTGAAATGCCAACTCAATTGTTTGTTCATGACGAGGACACTCTTAAATATTATTTAGTTTGTTAAATGTTAAATTCAAACTTCAAATCTAAAAGGTTATCTTTTGCTGTAAATCGAATGAAACAAAAAGAAATTCAAATTGCAAGCTTTGTTAAATTGTGTGTTCATAATTTTTATGGTCTTCTGGGTTTTTTCAGGAATATCATACATTTTTAATCTTATCAAATGAAATGAAAAATTAAGAAATTTAAGGAAAACATTTCACAAATTAATAAAGGATAAAGCAGTTCTACCGCATGCTGCCGCAAGCTTAGTAAAAATCTTAGTTTTTAATTTAATAATTTTTTTTTTGTAAACGAAAAATAGTTCTCAAAAATAATTGTGTACTATAAATTCAAAAACATTACTCAAAATTATCTAAGTAATTGTAATATATCGACTGGTTATTAAATTATTAAAACCAACCAGTTTCAGCAATCCATGAATTTCATTTCACAGGTCGACATTCGATAAACAAATCCGTATCCGTAACGACACTCAAAATGAAAATTTCGCAGTGACTCCCATATTTGTTCTTTATTTTTAATCCAATACCAAATTCTTTCAGTGTGTACGACACCTTTGCAACCTAATTAAGTCGATAGATTGATTTCGGCTTAATTATATCAATATGATGCTGGCGAAGAAGACGCTTTCCCGAGCACCGGCCGCGATGAGGAGTGGATTAGCAGTGACGGCCAACCAGATGCGCGGCATGGAGACGCTGTTCGATCCGTACACAAATGGTGTGCCCCGGATGGCCGGCGAGCGGAGGGATCTGAAGAAGAAGAAGCCGCAGGACAGGACCAAGGTGCCCGTGAAGGACATCTGCTGGATTGCGATGCGTCGCTCGGAGTACAAGTGTCGCTCCGATCCCGAGTTCAATGTGCCGGCCTTCATCGACTCGCGAAAGCGGTGCACCGCAGATCCCTGTGCGAGTTCCTACCCACCGACAGACCTCACCCTCTACAAGCCCACCGACAAGCTGAGCCGCAAGTACCAGCGCACCTGGTGCGAGTGCGAGCTGGAGGAGCGGAAGCGGAAGGCGGTCTGCCGCTGCCGTCCGCCGAACTTCCTGCGACGGGCCCGTCGAACGCCGCCGCTCAAGGAGTCGAAGGTCTGCCCCGATGGCAGCGAGAGCCTGGGACTAGGGCTCTGCCGCCCCAAGCCGGTGGCCAGCTCCTGCCCCAGGTTCAAGCTGCCCTTCTGCAAGCAGGTCAGCTCGAAGGGCTGCCGGCCAGGACGACCCCATAGCGATTGCATTCGCCGCCGGACGAAGTACCCCAGCTTCTCGGAGTGCCAGACGGATCCGCTGCCCGATGTCCCGCCCACCCACTGCTTCTGCATCAACCAGCCGCCCATGTGCGTGGTGTGGAACTACTACCGCATGAAGAAGTCTTAGTTGCCAAGGTCGTTCTGCATTTACCGGCTGGCCATCCCTCAGTTTCGAATAAACAATAGAATAGGAAGTATGTGGCTTTATCTCATCATAGTGATATTTAATTGTTAGATTTTTTAGGGAGGGTAAATGAGCCATTCTCGGGAGTCCTTTGGCTGGCGTGTCAAATCTTCGCATCGCCAGTTAAAATTTGGAACAGCACCTTTTCGGCCGATGTCTTTCAAAATTCGGAATTTCCGAAAATCCACGAAAACAAGGAAATCCCGGCACCATGATCGCCTCGAAGCTGCGCCTGCACCGAGCACCGATTCCCAGGATCCTGGTCACCAGTCGCTGGTACAACTGGGGAAACTACGATGCCAGCTCCGGCGAATGCTGCAAAATGCGCGACAAGGAGACCACCGCCTGCAAGGCGGACAAATGGTTCTGTCCACTCGACTATCAGCCCACCAAGTGCTACGAGAAACCCTCCTTTGGCGAGAAGCAGTATCCCCAGTATCTGCGGGAGATCTATCAACGGAGCAAGCCTGAGTTCGATCCCGACTGCTTCCTGAAGCTGATCCGCCACGACATTGATCACTACAAGCCGTCGGACAAGCACCGCCGATACCAACGCACTTGGCCCGAGTGTCCACTGTTGTGGCTGCGACCCAAGGACACCTGCTGTCCCGATCCGGAAATGTATCCCCCGATGAAACGCCGCATTCGACCGCCACAGGAGCCACCGCTCACGGCCATAGACAAGCATCTCTTCCAGATGAGCGTCTTCTGCAAGTCGGTCAAGCCACCCGGTTGCAAAGTGGGCCGTCGTCCGCCGAAGTGCAAGAAAGGTCGCAGGTCCTTAGACTGCTGCAAAAAGACGGCTCCAATGCCCAGTTTCTCGGAGTCTTGTCGCCATTTGATACCTCAATTCTGCCGGTCTGAGTGCGCCTGTCTGGTGGGCGGTAAGTGCGACATGTGGAACGTTTACCGCCGGTGGAACAAATCGCGTAGAGCCTGCACCAAGCCCTTCATGGGATACTCTCCCTACAGATCTCGGATGCGCTTTCCATTTTGACGGGAATATGCTCTATTAAGATGACCAAGTTTACCCAGCCTTCCCAATCACAATTTCACTACTGAAAAGTTAGCAGGCCCTTTCGAAATTCACCCAAAATTTTGAGGATGCAGTCAGCACTTCGCCTCATTTGCAGGCAAGGTTTAAGGAGTTTCGCCTGCAAAGTGCCCAGATTTCCGGACCCGCAATGCCAACACGTGGACCCCAAGTGCCATCATGTTCCTGGTGGCCAATGCAAAGGGGCCAAGGAAGTGCTGACTCGCGAATTGCCTCGTGAGAAATTCCTGGAGCAGAATGAGCAGCAGGAGGGCAAGTGCTGTGTCCTTCGGTCGGCGGCCAAAGATCCCTGCGCAGCAATAACGCGACCCAAAGAATATAAGCCTGTTGAAGAGCCCTTCCGCTCGATGTGGGAGCCACCCTGCCAGACGGAGGAGCAGCCCTTCTGCAAGGACAAACTGCCCCGCTTCGATGCGATCTACTACCATCCGTCGAACAAGTGCCGTTGCTACCAGCGCACCTGGGTGGAGTGTCCGCCGGTTAAGCAGCGCCTGAAGAAGGTGTGCTGCCTGGACGGCATCCATCCGCCCGAGGTCCAGTATCGCGTGAAGGATCCCTGCCCAGAGGTTTGCGGAGTACCCTACAAGCGACTGAGGCGACTGTGTGAAACTGGCGATTGGGAGCGGGATCCCAATTGCGAGTGCCCGAAGCTCTTTTGGCCCTGCTGTAAGCCGGCTCGTTGCGATCCTCGTTGTCGCAGACCCTGGAGACCCGCCATTTGCGCCAAGTTACGGGCTCCGTATCCCTCGTTTTCGGAGATCAGAAGATGGACGAGACCACTGCGGAAAACCGAGTGCCGATGCAAGGAGCCCGCCCCAATGTGCTTAGCTTTTCGGGAAAAAAGTAGGATCGAAAGGTTAAACCTCAAATTCACGTGCTAATATGGTACTCCAAGCTAGAGAATCTGCCTTCTAGATCAAAGCAATTGATGCAATATGAACATCACTTGTAGCCATTGCATTTCTCCAGAAGGCAGGTTTTTGGGCCAAGTTCCTCAAAACCAAAATCATGGAAAACCTAAGAAAATAATAGCAATCAATGAAAACAACTTTTGTATTTAAAATAAAGAATACTAAATTAATGAAAAATACATATCTGTATTTTCTTAGATCTAAAAATTTTATAATTGGATATATTAAAATGAAATCAGAAAAAATAAATAATATAGTTTTCGAAAATTTTACTAACTTTTTCGTTTAAAAAACCCAGACAGCATTGCCGCGACAGTCATCCATATAATGAATCGTTCATTTCGTTGTGTCCCATTTTTAATCAAGCAACAGGCTTCCAAATCGAACGTTTCCCTTTAGACATTTCCGAACAGAACAGAACCGAGCAGACCCCAAGCACACAGGGATATCAAGCAGCCGAAGGAGCCAGAGAGAACTGAACTGCAGAGGATCTAGGATCATGGCTACCTCCGTTTTGGCCACGATGTGTGCGGAGCGCTTGACCAAGCTCCTGGTCCGCTACTCCCGCGCCCAGCCGGTGGTGCGAAATCAGTCGCAGTGCGTGGACAAGGTGCTGAGTCCTTTGCCCAGGAGTGAAGCCACCATGGCCTACTTGAAGCCAGCTGCTTGCCCAGCGCCTCCCCAAGCCAAACAGACGAACACCGCAGCAAAGTGGCAGCCGATGGGCAGCATCACGAGCATTGGCCAGAGATTCCAGCGCGAGGCCATCGAACCGCGACGTCTGAGCTTCTCGAGAAATCAAGCCGTCTTTCCCAACAAATCGAGGGGTTTGGAGGACTGGAAGCAACTGGGAAGCGGACGTTACTCAGCTCCATTCGCCGGCATTTTCCAGGGTCAGAAGAAATCCTTTACCCAACAAACCCTTGCCTTCGATCGCCAAAAGCTGTATCGGGACTGCTATTAACCGAACACACAGGGATGCTCTTCGACCTCCTGATGCCAAACTTCATTCGCAGCTCAGCCACAACACTTTGATCTTCAGTGTTCTGACTGAGTTGCGACTGAGAGTGGCAGCATGTGCCCAAGACTGCCCCCCATTCGACGTATTAAAGATGTCTCGTGTTCAGATATTTTTGTCTTTTCTATCAAGGTTTTTGGAAAATCACCTCTATGAGAAACCCGCTATTTAACACTCAACCTCACAACTAAGCATACGTTTTGGCCAACACTCCCTCTTCGAGAAGGAACTCAAATTTAAGTTCAGCAGCCATGCTCAGCTTTTGGGCCAAGAGAATTGTGCTCAAGCCCGGCATTTTGGCGCTCGAGGCTTCCAGTAGGATTATTCACCTTAACGCCTTGTTGGCCTCCAGAGAGGGGAATTCGTGTCCGGAGAGCCGGGAGATAAGCTGCAAGACGGTGAGGAAGTGCAGCCCCACGGACCCACCAGTTCGTCCTTGCAGCGAACAGGGCTGTTCGCATCCTCGCTATCCCTGCTGCGTGAACACTCGGATCGCGGAGAATCCTTGCCAAAAGTCGAGGAAGAAAAGCGAGCGCTTCGTCTCCATGTGGGAGAGCTACAAGGACAAGGAGCTCCAGCGGCCGGAGACCATGTGGCACTACCCCAAGGAGTGCTGTCCGCAGTGCGACGACGTCCGCTTCGACGTGCTGTACTACAAACCCTCTGACAAGTGCCGCGACTACCAGCGCACCTGGTGGGAGTGCTGCCCCCGGATGATTCCCAAGCGGGTTTGCTGCTGGTGCGACGCCATTCCGCCCCAGGTGATGCGCCGCGACCTGCCCCTCTGCCCGCGATCCGCCTGCCTGGCGGAGCACGAGGAGAAGCGCTTCAAGTGCCTGAACAAGAAGTCCAAGGGCTGCACTCGCATCCGGATGCCCTGCTGCCGAACCTCCCGAGTGCCGCCCGACTGCAATGCCCTTCCCTACCCCACCGAATGCGACAAGATCAAGTGCCCATTCCCCAGCTACTCGGAGTGCGTCCAGGAGGATCCGGCCTCGATTCCACAACGGCCACCCGAATGCGAGTGCCTGCGGAAGGTGTCCCTTTGCGAGCAGATCCGCAGGGCCAACCACCTGGCCAAGCACAACATTAGCATCTGGCCCTGCTCTCCACGCGGTGCATAATCCTGTGATCTCTGCTGGGATCTCTGAAACAGCTTATGTATCAGATATGCCAACAAAGCCCACAGTAGGGTAGGGAAAATCCCATCAGCAGAAATCATAAATCTACCTTTAAGGTTTTTAGTTTATGATTTCTGGTGATGATGGCTTTTCCTACTCTACCTCAATCTCAGCAATCGGCTATTCAGCCAGCAAAGCTGTCAGTGGGCATTCGCCTGATGATACCTCACTTCTTCGACACTCCCCTTTCGGAACACTAACTTCTAGGACTCGTTCGAAATTCAAACATGTCTCGCCTGTCGGTGCTCAGCGGTTTCACGCGCAGTGTCCTCCGCTCCACCAAGAGACCCATGTATATCCTACGCCACCTGGCGGACAACTCGGATACCACCTTTAGCCTCGACGAAACCCAAAATAATCTGAAGAAATTCGAAAAGGCTGAGCCAGTGGAGCACACAAGTCACTTGTTTGTATGGCCGAATGTGAGGGAAAAGAACCATCACTATGAAGAGCGAAAACAGGAGGCTTATGATGATATCACAGCCTCTTGGGGCTGGAAAAATAACGAACTGGACGTGGAGCAATTGGCCGGAATGCCCGGGCCCACCGAGGTTGAGGATCCGTATTTGAAGTTGGAGGAGAAACCAGAGGAGGATAAACTGTTCTACTCCGAGGACGATCATTCGGGAATTCAGGAGGATCTGCAGTTTGAGAGAATGCGTTCACGGAGGGAACAGCTCAATCAAGACTCCCAAGAATCCTTTGCCAGCTTTGAACGAAACTCTCTTACTTGCGTGCGGGAGAATGTGGACTTTATGATGCAGGAACTTGGACAGATTTCCCTTCTTCTAAGCACTCTCTATCCAGAGGAATCCACTTTGGTTGGCACTGTCACGGGGCAATCTGAGAATACCATGGATAAAGTTAGCTCGGACCCAGAAATGGCCTCTTTGGCACTCAACCAAAGTGAAGCGAAGAAACTGGATCATGAGAAGGTATCTAATCAGCCTTTGGATGTTGCAAAGAACTTGGATCAAGAAGATAAATCAAATTCTGAGTTTACCACTTCGATGTCCGATCAATCTGGCTTGGAAGAAATAGATACTTCTGTGATAGCTAAAGAGTCGGAGGATACACCACTACTCCAGATCCTATCTGCTGGCGATAGCCGAGAACCGAGTCCCTCAAAAACCACTGAGAGTCCTCCCAAAACGACTGACAGGCAGGACATGCAGCCCAAGGAACACATTCACACCTACAGGCCCTTCAGGACCATCGAAGTTCCGGTCAATGAGCCTACTAAAAGCCCGAGCTCCGAGACAAGTGAAGAGCAGCCTTTTAGCCAGGAATCCCTTACAATCACTAATCATTTGGACAACACAGGCTACACGGTTTCTGCCCAGCTCTCGGAACCCGAATCACGTCTACTGATGCGAATGGCTCTCAAACAGGCCTTAGAAGATCTGGAGTCGGGCAAAAGCAAGTACAAAGCCACCATTCTAGAGGCCGAAACTGAGTGAAAATATACACAAAAAATAAATATAAAACTTGAATTTTATTTCTTAGTCTTGTCCTTCGAGCCCTTCTTTCCCTTCTTTTTCTGGTTCTTCTCCTTCTTGAGCTTGTCCTTCCTCGCCTTCTTGGCCTTCCTGATGGCACTGGGACAGACGTGATTCTCGCCGTGGATCTTGACCCACTGACGACCCCGCTCCGCCTCACAGAGGCTGAGGGGGAATCGGCACTCGCATTCGCGGGGGCGATGCGGTCGCTTGGCCAACTCGGGCTGCTTGCACTCGGACCAACAGGGCATCGGGGCGCAGAGCTTGCGGCAGCAGGAGGGCGTCTTGGCCGCATGGCATCTGGGCGGACGACGTCCGGGAACGCAACGCGCCAAGGGAGCGAAAATCGGACAGGGTCCTTTGGCCAGCGGGCTGAGGGCCGTCCGTTCGCGCCTCTTGGCCACCCGACGAGCGGGATCGAGAGCCTCCAGCTTGTCGTAGGCGCAGATCTTCTTCTGGCGGATCATGAACTTGGGACACTCCACCCAGTGGCGCTGGAAGGGACCGTCCTTGCAAGAGGGTCGGTAGTACAACTCGTCGAACGAGGGCAGCGGCTTGGTGCAGTTGGGCTCGCAGCACAGATCGTTGGATCGTTGGACCACAAAGGGATACGGCGGCGGCAGGTTCTTGGGCGGATCCCACATGGACTTGAACCTATCCGACTCGGCGCAGAAGGCGGCCGGAATGCAGTGCGTCCGGATCTTGCATTCTTTTTTACCAGCAGGAGCAGGAGGCGTCTTAGAAGGTGGAGGAGGCGATGGAGGCGTCGGGGGCTTTGGTGGCTTACTGGAACCGGACGAACTGCTCTGGCGGGAGCTGAAGCCCCTCAACAGGGTGGGCCAAAACATTTGCCAAAACTTCTTGTATTAAAATCGGAATTTTGTCAATTTTTTCTGTTTTTTTTTTTTTAATGGCGGAACGGTGGATTCAAAATATTTACCTAGCCGAAATGTGGCCCGTGGCCTGCTGGGGAAAAAACTGGTGAAATTCGGCAGAGGGTCCTGTCGCACACATTCACTTCGCCTGCAACTCAACTTCAACGCTGCGGCGACAGGCAACACAAAATTGCAAACAGCGGACTGCGCATGTTTAAATTTAATTGAACATTTAGCCAAATTAAAATGCATTTTATTACGCAGCCGCCGTTTCTGGCCTGGAAATGCAAAACAACGCGCGCCCAATCAGCCAGGCCAAGTCAACTGAAGCCAGCGGAGTTGGCCATACCCGCAAATAGATGGAGCAAAAGGCTAAGAAACACTAGGAAAAAAAGAGTTGGTAATGTTAAGGAAGAAAGTTAAAAAAATATAGGTTTTTACATTTTTACCCTTTAAGAAATAGAGGACATCCTAGAAACTATTTGGCCTTCCATAATCAAGATTTATATTTTATTTATTTTATTAAAGGCTTTTTTTAGATAGATAATATCTATCTATCAGATATCCAATGCGCACAATGCTTTAAGTTTAACAATAACAAAGATTATTTGATGTCATTTAAAGGAGCTGGTAATATGCAAATTGTGATTTATAACTGAACTAAATTGAACATTATATTTTATTTAAATAAGAATATTTGTTTAGTTATTTGTTTAATGCTTTCTATGCTCACATGTTTGTCCCAATGGACAGCAGTATTTAAATACATTTAAAGACCTTCTGATTACTAATTTTTTTCAAGTGCAGAGACAGTTGCAAAGCCAAAAGCTAAAGAGGCTGACTGGGCCTAGGCACGCAACGGTTATTCAGTTTTGTCGGTTTTTCGTTTCGGCCTTAAATTGCTGGCAGTGCCTATGCGAAATTTGGCACAGATTCGCGGGCAGATTCGAAGCTATTCGATTCCATTCGATTCGATTCGGTTCGGGTTGGATAGAGGCGGAACTGCGAGGACAGAGCGAGTTGCAAAACGGGTTGGGGACGACGGCCCAGGCCAACATGCGTTCTGCAATTGTTTAATAGCCTAATTAAATGTGCGAGGGAACAGGTTGGCCAGTCCGGGAAAGTCGGAAAAGTCGGGCATATGCAAAGCCAAGGAAGCGGAGCGACTGTCATGTATCACCGAGTGATGTGAAGTGATGTGATGTGATGTGACGGGACAGTGACTGCCATGCGGGTGGTTTGTCGGCTGCTAATGCCAGTCTCCTTACTTGTTTTTATACTTTACTCGTTTTTATTTTTTGCTCCTTGTTCTGGCTTGCAATTACATTTGGCTGTTAATTGCATTATGCATATTTATGGAAGCGCTCCGGCTGCAGCTCCTCCTCCGGCAATCAAGTTAGGGCCGTAGAAGGATCAGGAGCGGGAGCAGGAGCAGGAGCAAGGGTATGGAGACCCAGACGGATACGGCGACAATGCCGGCTCATTAGCATACATCAGCGCGTTAAGCTCGGAGCGAGTGTCTGACTGAGTTACGAACAGCTTTCCACTTTCCGTCTGCAGCTGCCATCATCATCGCATCGCCATCGTCATCCGCTGAGTGGCTTAGTGGGTGTTGCCCTCTAATTTAAATTAAAATATGAAAAATACTCAACGAGTGAAAAAGGGGTTTGGCTGCGAACAAAAACATCAAGCTGCGAGAGCTGAAAACTGAAAAACGTGCAGAAAAATCAAATCTAAAATAGCTGCTGGACATGGCATAATCAAATTGTCCGCACTGAAGGGCGTAGGGAAAATATTATTTGCCCAGAGATTGTTGTCTGTATGTGAGCTGCTGCAACTAATTATATTACTATGATTTGAGATAATTTTTATGCTTTCTGCATTCGTCAGAAATTACGGAAAATGTGATTTACTGGGCAGTTAATCTGTGCAATTAAGTATGTAAGAATAAAATGAATATTTATAATTTAATGTAGAAACTAAAAATAATCTATTTGTACTACTTTTTATTTTATTATTATCTGTTTTTTAATTATCAGTGTTTTAATAAATCAAAATATTGAAACTGTAAAATATTAAAACTGTAAAAATAATTGTTTATCTATTAATTACCTTCAATGTTCAATATAAATTTTAAAATATTGTTAAAAATATTTTATTCGCTTATGTTATAGAATAAGTATATTTTATACTTTTTCCAGATAAGATACCCCACCCTTTCCCTGCCTCCACTAATTCGCACTTTAAATTCCTGGCCTAAATTACTCTCCATTTCTCATTCTCGCCAACACCCAAAAGTATTTTCTCTGGAATGTCCCAAAGCCAACTGCTCTCAGTCGCAGTTTTCTTGGCTCGTGAGTGCGTGGGGTGCCCTGTTCTCCATTTGCGGCGGAGAAAGCCGAGAGATTTGGGAGCTAGGAGCTATTTAAGTAAAAATAATACCTTCATTTCTGTCCGCCTGGTAGACTTGAGTGCTCCGACGAGAGAACGAATGAGAGGAAGTGGGAGCTGCGAGCGTAATTCGCCAAATGGCCATAATAAACAAATATGCCATTAGCCCCGAATTTGCACATGCAGAAAAATATTAGACGGCATTCGTATATCAATAGGCTGTCGAGCGGACGAAAACTTTCTAATCGCAGTATAATTGCGACCGAATTAAGAAAGTCCAAAGGAAGGGGAAATAAACGCAGCTTTAGCCGCTAAAACAACACGACATGCGCTAAATTATGCTGTCAATTTCGCAGGTGGGGAGCATAAGTCATGCAAAGTATACAGCAACTTATGATTGGGAAACGCTGGTAATCAGTTTGTTAACACCCGGCGACAATTAGCGACTGGGCTAAGTGCTTGGCTCTATTGGACCATAAGCCAATTGGCCGTCGATATAAATTCACGGAAATTTACTGCCCAGTAAACTGCCACTCGCACGACATTAGCATAATTAAGTTAAGTCGCGTCAAGAACGGGTTTCTGATCTGCAGATTGATACTTCTGCTCATTTGGCGACTATCGGCGATGATCGGCCAACGAAATGCCAATTAGGCCGACCTTAATGCCAGCCCCACCCGATTTGTGGAAAACAGGATCGACTCGTAGCGATGATGGTGTGTTTCAGAACGAGGAGGGTATCGTTTAATTGAAATAATTACACATTAAGTGCATTAATTATTTTCACTTGCATGCAAACAGCAAACGGCGAGGACGCCTGCAAGTCGCCACTGACTCGTGGCCTGCGCCTTTTGCCTTTCGCGTAATTATTAATTTAAGCCATTCGACGACTCCGCTGGGTATCGTAGGCCATTACGGGCCATTTTCCATGAGCTGTGAGCTACGAGCTGCAGCAGCAACATCGGCACGACATCCACTTGCAACTCGTTTTGTAGCCGCCGTTAGCTTAGGTCATAATTATTAACGCAAAATCATAATTAAAAATGTATTTAGCCGGACTTGGAAATATGTTTTGACCGCCCCCGAAGGCAGAAGTCAGGTCGCGACTAGTGCGGCAGGAGTCGGTAATTAGCCGGAATATGTTCTGTAATGTTGGGGGTGTGTAATCGAAGGCCTAAAGGGATGAGTGCCAGGTCGTTAGAAAGAAATCTTGGGAGTGAACTACAAAATTTGTATAAAAATGGATAGATATTTTGTTTAAATCAAAAATTCATTTAAATAAGGATAGGTTTTATAAACCAAATAAAATGTATCTTTAGGATTGAGTTATTTGCAATGACTTGGTAGTGTCTATGGTCGATACTGCAGATTACAACCCCTTCGCCTGACAAATGGGGTCAATAACCAATCACCAAAATATTCCCTCAATTTACTGTCATCAGTCTCCTGTTGGCCGTTGCCTTCTAAACTAATTAAAACATACAATACCCAAATTAATTACTAAAACAGGTTAAGTTGGGCGCATAATAGCCATCTATCCAGCAACTGCTGCTGCTCCTGTGGATGTTGCTCCTGTCGGCGTTGCTCCTGTCGGCGTTGCTCCTGCACCTGTCGTAACGCCTGTTGTTCTTGGCGCTTGAATAATTATTGCAGTCAACTACTGTTCGGTTCGGGTATCAACCGGCTTTGGCTTTCGCTTTGGCTGTGGCTTTGCAGGGCACCGACTCCCAGCACGTCAATTGTTTCATTAGTTACCCTCAGACGAGCTCGTTTGGCGGACAACCCGGCGTATGTGTAATACACCCCGGAATGTGTGCACTCGCGGGGGTGCAGGGTATGCAAATAAAGTGCTGAATATATTTACTAATAACTATTTTACCTTAGCGACATGTGTCGCGCTCACCAGCAGAACCACATTTCCGTTGTCCTTTCGGGCCGAAAGTTTTGCGTCAATGTTTTTGGCTTGTGGAGGAGGAGGGGCGTTGGCCACGCCCCCTGCTTTTTTCCAACTGTGTCGCATATGTCAGCTGCGGCACTCATAACTTATTGAAGCACATAAATTTCACTTAATTGGCAGTGCCAATAATAAAGCACCAACAGAGAAGACCACCGATGACACCAAACAAAGTTTTCAAAAGTCCTTTTCCCTTTTCTTTACCTTTTTTTTTTACATGCATATAAGTTGCAATTAGGGAATTGACTAATTACTCAGTAAAGTCAGTGGTTTATTAAATGGAATGTTTTGTGGTAAATGGGTAAGAGTGGCCAAGTTTTCCATTTTACTTCAGGTTGGATACTTACCCACCCACCAGGCGCACTCATTAAACAAACAAAATCGGCCACAAAACTTGTTCCTGCCATTGTTATTTCTATTTTTATTATCTATGCCACACCCAATGCATAGAGTGGAAAATTATGCATTTTTCTTGGAAATTTTCTATGCCATCTGCGGAATGGATCTCGGCCGCCCAACCACTTCCCCTTCGTCTTCCTCCTCCACCAGAAGAGCTCATAATAAACGAATTAGCGCCTTTGGCTAAATGGAAGTAGAATGCAATTTCATTGCAATTATCAAGTGGAGG